ATACTAGTCACATACTTAAATATAAGGCACTTGATTAACCATTGCACATATTGGTAGCAGGGTTTAGAAGCTCTCATGTCAAGTCCTACTGCAGGAATATAAGGATGAAAAAGCCCTCACGTTAATCAAAAGCATGATTTGCTCAGGGACATATATAGCATTCCCATTTCACAGCCCTAATAATGGAAAATCAGACAGCTGGCTGTCTGTTTGGGAGTGCTGGCAGACTCTTGCATACAGTGGTCTGAAGAAGACACCAGGAGCTGGGAGAGGGGGGAGCAATGAAAAGGAACAGTCTTCCTGCCGCAGCTTGCCAAGAAAATAAAAATGTGTGAGACAATGTGCTAATGAATATCCCCACAGATGAGCAAGCACTGGTGATTTTGGTAAGGCAAAGATTTTGCAATTAAAATGTCATTCACAATGGAGATAACGACGATTATCATCAAATTCCCAGACAGGAAACTTCCAAATGCATGTGTAACGCAATGCCTCCCATTCCTCTCCAATCCTACAATAAATGCACAGTAGAATTGAAATTTGAGGCTACTACAATCACAAATCCAAATGGATTCTTTTAATCCTGGTACCGTCTCTCTCTATGACAACTACTAATAAAACATTTATTTTCAAGAAAAAGCATCAAACCATGATTTCATGAGATCTCATTTATAATTTCCCATTTCATCTCCACATCAATTTGCCCTTTAAATTACAGTAAGATGGAGACATCTGTAGGTTCTCTGGGAGGTTCTCCCTAACACCTGGCACTTGCTTTTGCTATGAGGCACCATCCCTAAGCGTATCCCAGAAAACTCTCCTGTTCTCCTCCATCTTTCCTCCCCCAGATTAGGTAACTTTGCCTGACCCAAACCATCACCCCACTGCAGCAGCACCTGACCCTTCTCTTTGGAGCCAAAGGTGCATTTTGAGACACCTCTAGAGCCACCAGCCCTTTCCTTAGGCTGAGGGCTCCTGGATCTCCTTCCTGCTCATTGCTGTTATCTAATGGTTAGGAGAATAAAGGCCCCTGATTTAAATGGGGTCAAAGCATGGCTGTAACAGCAACAAACTCTTCCAGTCACAGCAGGACTTATTTGCAACTCCAGGTATTTCTGCTCATCAGCTAAGAAACTCAAAAGCAAACCAGAAATTCTGGCATTTTTCTTTCCTGGCTCTGCCTTTGGCCTGGTGGTAGCACTGGGCCAGTCCCCTGCATCCCCAGAGCTTTGCTTCCTTTTCTGTGCAAACAAGGACAGAAATAGATGTTCCACACAAAGAGAAAATAAGACAAAATTTATAAATGTAAAGGTTTTTAAGGAAATGCTGTATTAGAGGAGGGAAAAAACTGATTACCACCAAATGGGGCTTCAAGCAACCTCCACATACAGGAGAGTTATCCCAGTCCTGACTCCTAAGAAGTACTTCCAGAAATGTTACCCCCTTGCTGTTGGCACAGATGTTCAGAGACACTTGCAGATGATTTTGGACTTCTCATCAATGAAATAATTTGAGATATATTTAAACACCAGGAATGAAAAAAGGAGCTCTATATGAAGTGTTTAATATCTGGTGACTAATTGACTTTGCAGGGGAAGATCTTCCCATGGCTTGACTCGCAGAGAAAGGACAAGATAAGCACAAAGGGTTTTCCATCAGGAACATATTTTATGGGTGGTTTCTACCTTTCTTTTTCTGATCTTTTGCAATTACCAAAATATAATGTCACTACATAGGAATAGAAAATGTCATTTTTACATGGACACACAGTGAAGAGGAATTCTCATGAAACATTTTCATGAGTTTAAGCAACGGGCATAATACTGTACATTTGTTTGATCAAAGATGAAGGAAGCTTTTATCAAAGTAAATTATTGCTTCAATTCCAGTTTTTTTTATTCCTAATAGTCTAAGCCAGTTGGATCCAGAGATGTTTTCAGGACTGAATCCAGGAAAGATTATTAGCTGCCTCTAAAATGTAGGGGACACTGGAAAGCAAATTTAAGCCCACTCAAAATCCATGGGAACCTAATAAACAGCAGTGATATTTAACTGGCATTTCCAAGCTGAGAGGCAGAATCATTGCATTTGTTAGTCTTTAGTCTCATTCCCTCATCATGGTTTAGTGCAAGACACTGGATGCAGCAAAAACTTGTCAAATATCACAGGGATCAAAAAGGTGAATTAATTTACTGAAAGGAAAACATTTCCATTCAGTGGTGGAAGTTCAAACTTCCACACGGGCCATGGACACACAGCTCATGGATAAAATACTCCCCAAAATCCCCAGCTGGTCTAAAACTCCCTGAATGCTGGGGAACATCTATTTGGAGTATTATATCCATGTTACTGATGATATAAGTGTGCATGGGTTAGGCAGATAAGCAGACGTGGCACTAGAAAGGAACACTGCTGCAAACAGCCTCCTGATGCAGATTTAATTAGGAGTGCAGACAAATTATTATTGTATGACATTTGCAAGAGTTGTTGAAGATAAGAAATTAATAAAATTGGCTTCTCCTAAACAGCCCCCAAGCAGATCCAGTGACTTTAGAAACAGATAATAATCCACATTAGTTATTTTTAAAGTCAAGGTACTCCTAAATTAAAATTGTGACTCTTCCATCCTAAGGTGCTAAATTGATAGCACCATTTCCCTCTCTCTGCAATGACTGCTGCCAACAATTTTTTAAAGGCACTAATTCTGGTTTTGCAACCACACAGAAAATTGCTTCCACATCCCTGGTATGAAAACTTTTCCCTACTCAACATGCATCACCATAAATTATCTGGTAAGGGTAAATCTTTTAGAAACCATGAATGGTGTTGCAGGACCAATTCACTAAACCTGCCATAAGACACTTGAGAGATAACTGAGATGTCAAGCCTCATCAATATCAACAAACTTCAAGTAAGGACAAGAGGAGAGGGGAAGAATGACAGTGAATAATCCCATTATGTGATGCTAGATAACACTCAGCTTGGAAACAGATACATCAGTCACAAATATGAATGTTTTTGAATTTCATCAAAAGTATAAGTAACCTTAATTCCTAAAAAAGCTTTTTTTCCACAGGAGTGATGAGAGAGTTGTAGTCTTTTTTTTTCCATTTTAACTTTCAAGATACAACCTTTATTTCCTCACTCTAACTAACACACAGGAGATAAAATAATTACTTTGGGCAGCACACAGGAAACATGAGTCAATTATTTTTAAAAAATTAAAACGTTTCTTCCTGACCAGGCAGAGGAAGCAAAGCCTCAAAGGAGGCTTCTGCCAATTTTCAGTGCTATGAATTTGTTCCCTGTGTTATTCTCAGTTACTGGTTGTGTATCTCCCCTAATCAATACACAAGCACATACATTCCACAATACTCTCTCATCTTGCATCACAGTAACTGCCCACTCACTTTGAAAGCTGACATTGATCACTATCTTGTTTCCCATTTCCCACCCCCTGCACTCCTCCTTGAGCTATCCACCCCTCGCAAAGCAGCATCTCACTTTCTCCATCTGCTTCTTCAACCCTCTCCTCATTGCATCCTCCCCTCTTGCTGGAACACTCCATGGTCTCTCCAGTGTGGCCCCACAGTCTCCTCCAAGCATCACTAACACTCTTTCCCTTTCCTGTTCAAAAACAGTGACTACAGTCAGCTTCCTACTCCAGACCTTGACAGAGGGGAGGGTGTCACACAAACAAGCCTGAGTTAAATAAATAATCCTGCCTTGCAAACTGTAAAACCCTCTGAAAGGCTGTGTTTCACACTGCTCCTCTTCATTTCACCCCAAATGCCATGGCCAAACTGATCTTTACTTGATGAGATGTTCTGGCCATGCCATTCCACTTCTTAAATCCCTTAGCCATCCACATAGCACAGCATTTTCAGATCACTGCCCTGGGAAACTCCCTGGTTCTGCCTGGCACCTGGTGCCATCCCCTGCCAGCTCTGCTTGCTGTGCTTTCATCTCATCCCACAAACATTTCTGTGCCTTCCCCTGCTCAAGCACTCTGCCTGCAATCAGCTCTTGAAGCTCATTGTTATTTATTATTCCTCCATCTCCCTCTTGCTTGGCCTCTCTGTTCTACTCTGTCAAACACTGTCATCTCTTCCACACACTCAACTGCAGAACCCTTCAATGCCCGAAAGAGAGGAAAAATATTACATTCAAATACCATCAAACATCCATTTCCAAGCCAGTGCCTTTCTTTCTAAAACACCTGGCTTTCTCCCATGCATTTAATTTCCCTGCTTTGCTTCCTTTCACAGTCCTTCACCTGCCAGTACTCACATTATACATTTCTTTGTGCCTAATCATTTCCTGCTCATCCCCTTGGCTCATATTTTCTCTCCTGAGTTTTTCAGTGAACATGGCAGGTTACTACCAGATCTTGTTCTGCCTGAGAACAACCTACCTCATTCCAGAGGATAAACAAAGAACATGGCAATTAAAATTCAGGAAGACAAAATCAGAGAGATAGCACTGACATTTTTTTCCCCACTCTCATCAGCAAGTGACATTTGGAAAATTTCAACCAATTCAATAAACAACGCAAATTTGTCCCAGTTTGCTAAGAAAGCAAAGCTTGTATGATCACACGCTGCCAAGCAGTTCCATCCTAACCCCTTTTATAAGTCAGTATCAAGCAAATAATGCCAAGGCAGTGAGGCTCGGAGGCTGTGTGTGCTGAAACACAGAGCAGCCCCAATCAGCATCTCCTGGACTGTGGGATGCAGCAGGAGCTGGCCTGGCAGCAGAGCAGTGTGGGGCACCCGCCAACAGCCCCCTCCCTCAGCTCCCTGCTTACACTGAAAGCATCCGAGGGTCACCTTTCATTATTTCACCCAACACCTAGCCATTGCCTGCTGCACCTTGTCCAGACCCCCTTCCAGCATCAGATTGTTAGGAACACAACTCTGATGCACCAGTTTCTATAACACTGATGAAGCATTTTTCTTTCTGCCTACCCCCAGCCAGAAAAGGAAAAACCTGCTCTGTACCTTTTTTGAATGATACTGGGGTTTGCAGTCACCAGCTGGGTTTTGGATCCAACGTCCTTGCTGTATTCACTGGACAGAGGAGGAAGGTTGCACCTGCACACAAAGACAGCCAAGAGTTTAGATGACACTCAGGACTGACAGGCTTCAGAAAATGTGAAAACCGTGGATTACTGCACCAGGCTACAAGTGCTCCCTACTGTACCACACCTACAAGCGTTTTTGTACCAGACTCTGGGGAAACACAGAAATAAAACCTTTTGCAGAGATGAAATCTGTGTAGCTGCTAAGGAAAACCAAAGGCATGCACTTGACATTTCTGACAGGCTGTGGAAGAGGCTGTTACTACCTACAAAAGAACTTTTCTTAAAAATCCAAACTCTTTACAAGTTCTGGTTTTCACCCTGTTTCGTCCTGTTTACCAGTATCAGGCCTCAGATTGATATTACCACTCTGTGGTACTGCAGGCATGATCTAAAGGCATTATCTAATACTGGCATTTTTAATATTGCACTCTGGGGTACCATCACCCTGTAGAACTCACTGAGAAAACACAGAAGAAAAAAATCAGATGGCTTTTTAGACACGTGTATCTCAGTTCTGCTCACAATCCTGTTCTGGTGGGCAGGGTGAGGATGGAATAAAGCCAAAGCAATTGAGCAATTTTCCTTTGGCAAGCAGAGAATCAAGACTCAATAAACCAGAAGTAAAGGGAAACATCCACACAGTGAGCAGCCCTAAAAACTCATTTGTAAAGACCTCTGAGAAGGACGAAGGTGCAGGAGACAAAGATGAAGGTACATTCAAACAGTATCCAAGCCTGTGCACTGCCCCAAAAATTATCAGGAGAAATCTACTCAATACATAGAAATTGCACTAAAAACTGGTTTCCAAACACAATAATTTCAGATTTCTCCTTTAAAACAAAGACATGAAGAGTATTTGGAATGCTTAAAAGGCAAAAATGAAATCATGATTCTCAAAGACAAGCAGAATTTGGGGTTTTTTTCAGAGAAGGGCTTTTAGAATGTTGTTGGGGTTTTCTCTCTGCAGTTTTTGTTAACTTGAAAAAAATCCAACCAACCAACCCAAAACCAGCCAACCAGCAACAAAACAACCCAACCAAAACCACAGTGGTGTTATAGCAGCCTCTATCTGCATATAAATACCAGCTCTCAAACCCTTAAATTCTCATCATTAGGCAATGCCAAGGAAAAGGACAACAATGTCCTAACTACATGAAGCATAATGAATTAATTCACATCCATCAAGAAATACAGAATTTCCAGGAATATTTTCTCATTTTCATGACTGTACTTGTTAAGATGTGTACAATGTATTGAGATTTCAGTCAGGAAACAGCTTCTAGGTCACTGTACACAAATTAAGAGAAGCTAGAGAAATTCAAAAGAAGACGGGAAAAAAAAATCAAAATAAGAGTTTTCAGAAACTGCAGTCATTGATGGGAAAGGAAAGGGCCAGAAGCTTAGGGAAATTTTAATTCCTACAAACAGAAATTATAAAGCCTTAAGAAAAAGTAAAATAAAAGTCAAACAAATATTTGTGAAGGAAGATTTAGAGCTGATCTGCCCTAGGGCAGAGAGGTGGCATGATATTTCTGGCAGATCACAACTGAATGCTCCCTGCTTTGAATAGACACAAGCTCACAGGGCACACTTTTAAAAAGCCATTTTTGGTTCAAGTTGATTTAAAAGCACTATGAAGGACTAAGACCTCACCCTGGTTTTTGTCACCTCTGCATCTAGATAATGACAGTTCTTGCATAAGCCAGTCACAGATGCATGATTTCAACACATCATCTGTAAGTCTGATTCCCACCTGACAGTGCAGGAAACATTGAGCAATGGGCTGAGTATCCACAGGAAACTGCAGGAAATCTGTTACCTGATCTTCCCAGTTATTTTCTTGGATTGGTCAGCAGAGTGCTGAGTGTTCTGCAGGTGAGGAGCACACTGAAGCACAAAACTCATCCTAAGAAATTTTATTTTTATTTCTCTTACTGTTAGATCCGGTAGTGAGAAGTAAGTACACGAAAATAGAGTTAAAGACATGGCTTGGGACTACTAACCAACACCCTTCTCTTAAAATAAGCATTAGGAGGTAGGGAGTGGGGGAAAACTGTTTTTTTTCTTAGAAATAAGAATTACAAACTTGAAAATCAGAAGAGCCCATTCCAACCACAATGCCTACACATGGGGACCATATGCACCTTTGCCATTGCACAGGCAGCTTGCTGTGCCTCAGGGGCTGAGAACTGCTGCTCCTCTCATCTCTGTGTTGGAACAACTGTGCTGGTAGGAGATGCTCAGCAACCAGATGAGGAACTCATTAAATACCCTTAGCAATTACAACACATGACTGCAGCCATCTTCTCTCTCTGGACAAAGCTTATGGAAATACACATAAGTGAAATAAGAATTCACATGAAAGGAATTAACAAACAAGGGCAAAACCTGGCAGGACATTTCACACTGCAGAAACTCTTTGAAGACATTGCACAATTTATTTTTTTTTTTAATGAGAAGTGTTAGGGAAATCACTATTGTGCTCTGTCTCAGTTCTCAGATTATAGAAATGAGATTTAGAAAAGATCAACTAAATTTTCCATTAAAATTATTTCATATCACTAATACCACAGAGCCTGCAGACAGCAAATGGGATTCTAGCAGGATTCTCCCTATCACTTATTTCTAAATCAAAACAAGCTCTGCACATATAATGGTTGCTTTACCCTCCCTGCAGAGAAAGAGGGTTTTATGATCAAGCTAAAATAGCTGCTGTTTTGTTGGCTTTTTTTTTAAACTTCTGTTGTTTTTGTAACTGGTTGCTCCTACAGCATTTTAATTTCTATAAAATACAGAATGCAAGAATCTGCATATACACTGCAGCCTCTGGTATTTAGTCTATGGAACACCTCAGGAGTCCTGCAGTAATGGCAATCAGAGTGCTGCTCTCCCCCTGTGCTTTCCATCTTCTCTTCCCTAAGTGCTCCAAGCATATGTTTGCCTTAAATGTGTTCTGTTTCTCTGCATTAACAGGCATTTAATAATGAAGGCATTTTTGGTCTTTGCAAACCAGAAATTACAGGAATGGTTTAGAGCAAATTTGTATAGTTTTATAATAAGCCATCAGGATGTAATGAGGAGACTTGTTCTAGTGGGTGTTCGTTATGCATCCGTCAGAAAGCCAAAGAAACTCCAGTTCTCATCTCTTTTGGAGCATTCCTCCACTTTCTCCCCCACAATGTTTCTCTTGTTCATGTTTATCAGGGAGGAACTAATTTCTGTCTTTCTTCCTTAAGGACCACAGGCCTACAAAGTGCCAAATTCAATCACAAAAGCAGTAGCTGGTTCAGCATCCCTCCTGACAGGTTCTTGTAAATTGAGGAAGGCTGGAGGGAAAGGAAATGTGAAGAATCACAAAATCCTCAAGAGAAGAAGTTTGGCCTTTCCTCAGACAGTCACAGTTCAGTCTTGAGGGAAGAAAAACAGAGGAAGATTTTGGCTTGCAGCAGCTCAATCCCTGCCCCCTAAACCAGCCCCTGCTCACTCTGAGCTCCACGGGTCGCACAGATGGCATTCAGCTTCAGAGGACAGAGCAGGATGAAGCAGCCTGGCCACCAGGGCATAAATGATGAGCCAAGCAGCTCCTCAGCACCTCCCTGAGACCCTGCACAGGCCCTCACAACTTCACTGAGCAGCACAGGGTGCCCTCACCCATGTCTCCTTGCAGAACCAAGCCCAAACTCTCCTCACACACTGCTGTGTGCAGCATCCTGCAGAGGCAGGGCACCAGGGCAAGAGATCATGGATGGATGCCAAGGGAACAGCTCAGGAAGGGCTGAGGCAGAGCAGGTGGAGGGGGATAAGGTGCCATTGAGGGCTCTGCCTTACCTCATGACAAAGTCTGCTTGATCGATTTGCTTGCCGCAGCCGCTCTTTTTCAGGATCCCGCCGTTTCCCACCACAGAGCACTTCTTCAGTGGCAGCTGGAAGGGAGTAGCCTAGCAACACAAAACAACACCAGTTTTACACAGCAGAAAAGCATCCTTGGAGCAGCCACTCCTGGAGAGCCCAGGGAGCTGTTGGGGCTCAGAGTAACAAAAAGAAAAAGAGAATTAGGAGTGAAGGAAAAAAAAAGCACAGAAATGAGCTGGTAAGTACACGTAGAACCAGTCTGATCCCCGCTCCCCACACCAGGATGCAACAAACGTGATACAGAAGATGATTTTCTACAAAACCAAAACTGCCTCTAGTCCTGAGGCAGAACTGGCCAAAGGCAGGCACCTCACAAGCCTTCCAGGAAAGCTGCAAGGACACAGGAGAAACAAGACAACCAGGAAAACAGGACAAACAACCCATGAGAGTGATGCTCCTGAGCTGATATACAAAAGACACCTCTGAGGAGGAGAGGAAGGAAGGAACAGGAAATGCTGAGATGACAGAGGTGTGCTGGGAATCTGGAGTCATCCTGGCTCTCTCCATGGCTGTGTTGCTGAGACAGGTCAATCCAGAGCCCTGGGCAAAGACACTTGGAGCTTGACAGCAGCTCCTCAAACAGCCAGTTGCCCAGACACATTACAAATTAGTATCAGCATAAATTAAAATTAGAATGGGACCATTTTAGCTGAGGAGCTCTTGTAGCTGCTGAACAGGGCATGAAAGTGCAAAGACAAATGGTCATGGGATGCCATGCACCAGACATAGTAAGGTATTAGATTCTGCATATCCTCATTCCTGAGGATCTCAGACTATGGATGGCACATGTTCCTGTCAGCCACAAGCCTCTTGTGAGCATGGGGCAGCCATGTAAACAGCACACAGCACATGAAAAAAGGGTGGTGAAGAGACATGTGAATTTAAAGCAGTGAGATTTAGTTACAGAATGTGATTTGTCTACAAGACAAGAGCTAATATTCTCCTCAAGCAAGAACAATGTGCAGGGGTTTTTGTTTATCACACCTGCCACAGCCTGACTGTGCAGCAGAGACAGGAGTTACTGCCCAGGCCTCGGAGGACACGGATGCCAGGGGAGAGGAGGCAGCAGCACAGAACAGCTCTCCCTGGGCGGCCTCAGTGGCATCTACACAGCAACATCTGCCAGGCTCTCACATTCACCAGGCACTGCAACACAGGACACGGTCCAGAAAGCAGAGCCAGGATTACAGCACACACACTGCGTTTTTTACAACCTATTCCTGCTGCCTTATTTCTCTTCTTCCTAGATTTACTTGCTTTGTCTACCTTTCTCTGCAAACTAGACTCTGTTCAGCTTCCATAAAGTCACAACTTGCTTTGTAATGAAAAAACTAACTCTGCCTTAAGGTATGCTTAAGGAGGAAAGTAAATGTTAGTGTCCTGAGAGCCAGTCATGATAGCACAGCAGAGAAATACTGACTGTGCAGCTGCATTCTTGTCCTGCATCTGCCTTCTCAAGAAGATTTTTTAACTTAACACTTACTGAAGCATATCTTGAGATTCAAAGAACATCTCATCTGTGAGATGACCCTGATCCAATGAGAGCTCACATTCTCTGTAAAGGCATGGGGGTGGGAAGCAGAGGAAATGCAGACTAGATGTGTTCTATAAATAACAGTACCTTTCCTAAAGATACATCAAAGCTCCCCTCAAGACAGCTGGTTACACAAAGGCTGTGCCAAACCACAAAGGCAGCAGACATTAACTCTTGCTTTTAAGGGTAGTGGGCACTGTCACAAATTCTGTGCCCAAACACACATTTAGCAGTTGTTAAATGCTTCCGAATTCTGTGAGTTGCAGACAGCCTTTAATAGTGCTTGAGATGACCTGCTGTCCTTCAAGGGAAGCTTATTTCCTGTTCTGCTCAGAGATGACAATGCCAGTTCTCATTTGCATACATACTTTAGTTTCCAGAAGCTGATCAAGTTTTCAAACTCTTGTCCTTTTGTTTATCCTGAGCACAGCCTTGCTACCTGGTGTGTACAGAAAATTCCCACACCAAGGTGAGGCAGTTCTATTTTTTATTTTAGTTTGTGCAAAGTAGGGAGTTTGGTGGGAACCCACACTTTGTGTAAACAGATACAATTTCTACATTTTAACAAACAATGGCATCAACACACATGTTCCAAATTACACTCATTTTTCATTAATCAAACCCTTATTTGCTACTTCTATCTCTTGCTTATCATTCTAATTCTTCTTCCCCCCATTTACTGCCTAGTCCTGTTGACTTCACTCCTAGTGGCTCTCATCCAAGCAGGCTATTCATTTCAGAACAGCACTCCCTTTCCCTTAAAACAAAGGTTTAGCCAAGCCTATAAATTTCCACAAGTTTCACAATGCAACTACTCAATCACTCCTGCCAAGGTATAGCTACTGATTAACAACAAAATAATTCCCCAGTTTGGATCACATCTTGGACTGGGTATCCCTTCAGTGGGTCTGAGGCAAAAGAAGGAGCTCAGGGCTGGCAGGGTGATGTGAGGAAGCCAAAGGAAAGCAGGAAGGGCAGATTATATCATCATTTGGGTGTTCCTCTGCCTGACCTGTGCAGATCCACCTGCCCTATGCACAGAGAGGAAAGCCAGGCTGGACACAGCTCCTGGTGAAAGCCACCATGCCCACAGACACTTGTGCCTCCCCAGCACAGCACGGCAGGTTCAGGGCACGGCACAGACACCAGAGCCCCCACATCTCCCTTCAACGGGACCAATGGCCCTTTCCCACAGGGGCGCCCTTTCCCACTGGCTCCAGGCCCCATGGCCATTCCCAGCCTGCAGGGGCAATGCAGAGCCCACAGGACCAGCTGTCCCTGCTGCCTGGGGACACTGCAGGCGCTCGGGGCTCAGGGCAGAGCCATTCCTCAGGATGACCTGGGAGCACCTGCACGTGCCATCTGGCACACGACTTTGCTGTGTCACTGCTGACACTGCAGGGACATCCCAGGAGCTCTTTGCCAAGCAAACACAAAACTGTCTGCTCACACAAAACTGACGCAAGTCCTAGACTCAAGTGTGCCCATAAGCAACTCTGAAATACATAGATGGCTTTTTTTCCTCTCTCCACAAAGCCTTCTAATGCTTTCCCTCTTTACCTTCCACATCACAACACTTTGCTAGGCAAATTATCAGTTCATAGGTGACAGTATGTAAATTCTCACATTAAAGGGACCCAGCTGTCATTTATGCTAAATATTCACAAAAACCACAGCTGTTTTTCTCCTCAGAATTCTAAGCCAGCCTAACAAATGCTGGCTTTAGGCAGCAGAGTTGTAACAAAAGCATTTCCACTAATATTAGCTTCCTGAAACTGCTATTTTCATTGTCAACACATGTTATTTTCTTCATTCATGAAATTTTTATGAATGGCCACAGTCTTGCGGGTGGACTGGAAAAAACCAGCCTCAGTTTATTTCGTATGACAGAGAAAATGTACCAGAAACCCACCAACTTATCCCCATTATTAAGCAATAATTACCATAGAATTTCAAATACTTTTAAATAGTAACACCTTGCATATTGGAAACAAGCAGGAGGAATTCCCTTGCAAACATAAGTCAAGCACTTCATTAAATGAATTGCATGAAGCATTTTTAAAAAGGTATCGCCCAACAACACCAGAGCCAGGAAGGCCCCACTGTCTCATTTTCCCCTCCTTCAACAATGAAACTCCACTGGCAATCACTGAAGGCATTCTAGTTCATATTCATGTAAGCAAAAGAAGAACCTGCACATCCCCCTGCAAATTCAATGACAAATAAGCACACAGAGCAATGGATTAAAGACTCCCAATTGAACATGGGACTAATTTAACAAAGCATCTCTCAAGCAATGCACTGATTAGTTTCATCATTCATCTAAGCAGAAATAAATCATTGTCATCAGTTAAAAGAACATTACACATAGTAACAAAAAATAATTTTAGATAATGCTACTCTAAATCACTTTGATTTCATTGTTAGGTTGTTAATGCACTAATTTTGTGCCCACTCGCTGCCAAAGACTTTAATCAGAAACCATGTTCTTACTGGAAAAACAGGAAAATTTACAGTATTCAGCCTCTGCTTTAATGCTGAAGATATAAAAATCATTGAAAATGCTGAGAACATAAATTAGAATAATTTATCTTTTAAATCAGCCTTTTGAATTGGAAAGATGCTGTGATTGTGCTGTCCCTTTTGAGCAGGCAGCACCACGATGAGGAGGGCGAGGCCGTAGTGAATTCGCCAAGGCGCCAGCTGAACCCTGAGAGTCCTGGTGCCTTTCCAGCTGCCAGGCGCTGCAGGGTGGCAGCGGCTCCTTCTCCATCGTCCACAGGCCACATTTGGCCCTTGGTGCCCCCACAGAGCCCATCAGTGCCAGGGAAGGCGTGTCCCAGCAGGGAAACGGGGGCTCTGCTGCTCCCATCTCCTCCTCTCCAGCCAGGAGCAGGAGCCCGGAGCAAGGAGTGGCCCAGGGGCACGGCGAGGGAACCGGGCCCCACCTGCTCCACTGCCTCACCTCCCTCACAGGAATAAATCCCAAATTCCACATACCTAGTCTAAACCCACTCTCTCCCACTGCAACAGGTGGGACTCCGATTAAAATGTGATTATTACAAGAAGCAGTGGTGGCAGTGACCATGAAAGAAGATAAAGAAGAGATGCCACATGGAGCTCCAGCTGCCTTCTCCAGCTCATTTCGGCACTGCCAGCTGGTACATGCTGAAACCTGAAGCTCGGTGTTTGTACCAAAGAGAGGCTGCCCAGGTGGGACAAGCTCCTCTGCAGGTGTCCATGTCTCAGCCATGAGAGCAGCGTCTTCATTCAGCCCTGAGGTGGGATTCACATCCAACATGCAAACTTTGTGCTCCCCGCAAATACCTGCTTTGGGCAGTACTGTTTTTCACAAGACTAGAACCTCAGGAACTATTCACATTTTCACAAGATTAGACCCTCAGGAACTATTCCAGGATCCACATGGATCACTTGAAGGCTGAATGCATTGCAGGGCTGCTGCAGGAAAAGCTCTGCCACCCAAAAGGATCC